CTCTCTCAATATGTTTGATGGAACTTAAATTTACGAAGACAAGTTCAGTAGTGTGGGATGACTAACTGCAGAGTATGCAAATCCTTCTCATGCTTCCACATGTCAGCTGCAGCATTTCTTTGTCATTCACGAAAATGATATTTCTTGATAATGATTTTTAATTTGGAGATTAAGAAACTCAGCTAGCTAGCATGATTTATGACAAGAAAAAGACTACATTATCATTTCAGCTTTCAAGTATATCTTGTTAAATCAATCTTTTTCGTCACATTTCGTATATATAACGGGAATCGAACCCTTTTGCTGCTCACGGACATAGATACTGACAACTCTTACTATTAAGACTTAGATATGAGAAATATTACCTAGCTAGCATATTTTGGATTTCCTTTTTCTATATATAACCATGACACGAATAAAATAAAAAGCTTTGCTCCTCGGCAGTCGGCACTCGCATAAAATAGAATGTCTCTGCATTAGTCATAGGAATAGAAATAATACTTGGTTCCTAGCTAGATCAAACGGATCAATATTTTCAAAAATCTAATCACATAATGTATTTTTGCCTTCTATATGTTGTACTTAGCATATGAAAAGATATTCATTAGCTTAGTATATTCACGAAGTATATATGAATATATCTGCATGATTACCATATTGAACAACGTAACCTAATTAATCCATCCACGTTTGAAAAAGATTGTTTATTTATTTTTGAATGAATCTATCTTGTATGTAAATGATTCATTTCTTTTAACTTTTATATGGATTCATAACTTTGATCAAATATTCTTGAATGGTCTTAATAAGTTACAAGACTTTGATCTTTTTATTGTACCATTGATTAATTTATACAAGTCTTAGGTACATTAATCTATTATATAATTAATTTATACACGTCTTAGGTGCATTAATCTATTTATAAAGTAAAACTTTATGGGAGAACATATTAATACGTATATATGGTAATGAAAGTTATATTTTACTAACATTTTGACAGTTGGATCGTCCTTTGGACGGAAAAAAAACATTTTTAACAATACAGTAAAGACTTTTTCTGTGATACAGATGCAATTAACTTGCTGATAGGCAATAAACTACACATAAAATATTGTAAGAGTAGTTTTGTGTAGATTGCACGTTCATTATTCATCAGCAGCGACCCAGATCTAGCTAATACTTATTTTCTTTTGACTTTGATGAATCGATCAATTGCTTAAAAATGTGGTTGACTTTGAGGCCTCTAGTTTTTATGAATTAACGTATAGGGAAAACTTGTCTTTTCTCCTCCCTTTATAGCCGTTGTTATTATACTTCTAAAGCTATAGAAAGTAATGCCAAGAGTTAGTCAAGTGACAGTATATCTAGCAGACAAGAACGAATTAATACATTAAGTTAATAGCTTAGACTTATCGTATTAATTAATATCTTGACACCTTCTATAGGGTGTCATTAGCAAAAGTTGTCACGCGTCCTTCATGATTTGGAGAATTCTTAAAGATTAAGCCTAATTTCCTCGTGTACTTATAAAGACGATTAACCCCACATGGGTTCACCGTCAAGATTGTCAAGATCACAATGGAAATGTCAACGGCAATTTATATAAGTTATATAGGATGACGACGTAAAGATTTTTTAAAATATTTATCATTATAGTTAAATATTAGTTTAAATGCGAATAATATGTTAGTTATTATTTTTACCAAGTTAACAAATAAATAACTGCGATACCGAGTAGGCGGAGTCACACGTAGTCAAGGAGTGTCAACCGATAACCCTTTGTCAGAAAATTACGCTATATAGCTAGGTAATTTTTTTTTAATATGTATGAA